CCTGTCTGAGTCTATTCAGACCCTAGGGATTTCCCTCCGACAAGCTGCACTCAGAATCACCGTGGCTGTTCCTGATCGCTCAGCAACAGTGCTCTCAACTGATTTAAAGGCGCTCCATACAGCTCATTTGTCAGTTTGGAGACCTTGAATATGGCCCCAGCTGATGGTGAGGAGCCCCGGGTATCGATTACATGCGTTTCCCTGCTGTAAGCAGGAACTAAACCCTGCTAACACAAAGTTGTAGCAGCGGAATATTTAATCCCCATTTATAGAGCCGTATTCAGTGCTCACTTTGAGCACCACAGCCATGTCCTCTGTCAGCTGGAGCCAAAATTAGTGGGCACACACTGATAGAGGAGAACCTCAGGCAGTCCCTGTGGTAAAATAATGCATGATGAAATTATTCCATCATAGGTCCTTAAGCAAGTGATATCCATGATGGAATAATTCTTTACAATGCTTTTTGAACCCCTGTTCTAGACCAGTTGTATCCCACGAACCTTCTCTTGTTTTAAGGTCGGCTCATACATTTGATCTGTATGTGTAGCTTGTGATCAGGGTAGATATTCTTGGATTTAATGCAGATTTGACCTTATTTATTTTCCCTTCCAGTTTCCTTTGCATTCCCAACAATTAAGTCAAACAGTGCTCTAGTGAAGGGGACCCCAACCCAGTCCTCAAGTATCCCCTACCAGTCCAGGATTTAGGGATTATCATGGTGTCTATGGTGTTTTTAGAAAAAAAAGGAAAAAAACACTTTAGACACAACCGGGTGATCCCTAAATCCTGGACTGGTTGAAAACCCCTGCTCCAGTGGCAACTATTTACAAAGACTTACATGTCACATTTAAGGGTAAAATAATGCATAGTTTAATTAATCCAGTACATCTGATTTGGCATAAAAAAAAATTGAATTGGCATTTTCAATAATTCACACTGATAAATAACACCACTAGTGATTTGTTGTCTATACAAATTAGCAGATTGTAGTTTTTTGGGGGGTTTTTTTCTTCCTAAAATGAAAATATGCAGCACTGTTCTCTAAAGAGAATTTTCAGGAATTCAAAGTGAATTTCAAACTCTCTAGTCCAGAATAGCCAAACGGACATAGCTGCCTCAGAGAATATTCCCAGTTTGGCTAGTTTTGCCTTATATGTGAAATTCACTTCAAAACCGTTTTCACTTTAGTGAATAATTTTTTATTTTTTTTCATTTTTTCAAGAAAGAGAAACCAGATACACCAGCAGATGACTAAACACATCAAGGATAATGAACATTGCTGTGTGACATACCCCCATATGTTTTCTAACAAATCGGCAATCCGTTGTCCTGTCCCCATGGAGACCCTTTTGTTTGGATCAAACTATTCATGGATGGCAAACTAGATCAGACTTTTAATTACCTTGTTTTTAGCAAGCTAGCATTCTTCCAGAATACCCTTCAATGGGATATAGTGGGGGTGGAGAAATTATATGAATGAGAGCAAAAATGAGAATCTCCCATAAAATGAGATTTGTTACTGCAACAACTAAGAACTCTGTTACATTCAAGTTTATTCGGAAGTGTGACTTGCAGGGAACTAAAACCGAATTTAAATGGAAACTGTCACTGCCTTAGAATATTACTTATTCGGTATGGATGCCAGATGGGTTAAAAAGAACAGATGGTACTAACACTCTGGTATCGCACCCACTCAACACTACACAAGATCATACCGGATCACTCCCCATTATGCTGGAGATGTGAAGAGAGAGGCACACTCCTCCACATCTGGTATGAATGCAAGAAGATCCTCCCGTTCTGGAAGGGGATATATACAATGCTAGAGCTATTAACGGAAAGCCCACCCCCTTTCAAACCTGCAGGAATAAACATCATATCAGCATCATACCAAAAACCCTCTATAAGAAATCGTACGATACGCATTCTGAACATAGCTAAATTGGTAATTCCGCAACACTGGAAACAACCAGTCACTCCCCCACTAAGGTCATGGTTCTCTCAAATGGAGGAGCTAAGATGCCTGGAGGATCTTCACACCAGTCTTACTTAAACATATGAACTCAATGGCTGCAGACTACGACGAAACCAAATTTTGCTGACAAACTCCGGTACTGAATTACATGGACAGATCACAGACACCGTCGATTCCCTGACGCCACTGTACCCATCCCAACTCCCTGTTTCCCCCCCTTTTCTATAATACCCCCACCCGCAGACCACGTCCCTGACAGGGCAACAAGGACCCGCTGGGAGGACTCTCTCGGTGCGGTAGTTCAGGAGAATTATAATGCAGAGACCAGGTGAACTGAAACAAGCCTAACAACCCTAGCAGAGCATCATAAGGTGAGGTAGGGGCACCACAAGCCCATTACTAACGGGGCAGACAAGCCCTACCATTTGCCTTCATGTGACCAGGGCCAGTTCTGACACGGACCACTGGACCCCATACTGACACTCATCCGCAGTCCCGGGCTACAACCCAGTAGTAACTGGCGAACTGCAAATTAACAAACAAACAAACAATAAATTGCCATAATTATATTGTGAATCAATAAGGGACCTGCGAGCCCACATAATGCTGTGATTATTTATGACCATTGCACCCTCTCCTTTTCAGTAAACAAGGGACCTGCGTGTCCTGTAATACACCATCTGTATCTCCTTTTCATCTTGAGTATATGAATTTAATAATGATGATAAAACAATAAAAAATATATTTACAAAAAAAAAAAAAAAACGATGGTAACTTGCTAGGCTGACGTTTTGTGGATGCCTTAACGTGTTGGCACACAGAGAAACCAGAGACTGTATTTGAACTTGTCTCAGTTGCCATGTTTGTATGCTAGAGTTAAAGTTCAGCACACCAAAAAGGTAAAGATGTACTTAGTGAGAAGGAAATGGATAATACATTTGCAAAAAAGAGCCGCTTTAACAGGTGAAAATTCAATGCAGTTAGTAGCAGTGGTCAGAAAGCCTCCATCTTTTGCAGAAGAACAGGCAAAAGATCAATCTCTTGCAGCTTCTCAAGTTGATCCAAACCTCCATTTGTTCATGAGAACGGGTTTTGTGTCATGACAAAAATGGAGAACTGCTTCCAGTCATACCAGAACATTATACGTGGTTTATTTTTTTATTTTTTTTATTTTTTTATTTACACAATATAATCATGAATGTTTTAGGTAGTATTGGGCAGCAGAAACTGTTTGAGGTACTCAAAGATAAGTTTTTATTAGGATAAAATCGAAGACCCTGTACAACATGTAGTGCAACCATGTATATGTGCACAAATAAATTCCAGTTCTAAAGGACAAAAACCACCTATTCAACGTAGAGGCGGCCCTTGGTCTACCCTACAATTTTATTTCATTGGACCACTACCAACAGATGTGAATGGATTAAAGTATGCGCTGGTAGTTGTAGATTTATTCTCAAAATGGTTGGAAGTTATTCCACTAACATAAAATGATTGACAATATACAGCCAGATCATTATGGACACACACATTTCCTCAAGATAGGGATTTCCTAGACTTCTTGAATCAGACAAAGGTACCCGTTTCACAGGGAAAGTCATGCAAGGCACTGCATGCTTCTCTAGGAATAAAATAAAGGTTTCCATATCCTCTACAATCTGGGATGGTAAAAAATATGCATCGAAACATTGAAATCAAGAATTACAAAAATGTTTACTCTGGGGAGGGGAAGGTAACATCTAGATACAACCATTCTTGCTGTACTTATGGGTATAAGAGCCATGGTGTCTTCAGCTACACAATATACTCCAATTTGAATTGAGGAAAGGCAAGAACATGCAGTTGACCTTTCCCATTGAACCACAGAAAGATGCAATATCAAAAAAATTAATGGTTACAAATGCTGAAATAAAATTTGGACCAAATACTTCCACATGCAGCAACTCATATGTGCAAAATGGTACCTCCTGATTTTCAAAGTTTTTAAAAGGGGATATGGTCATGATAACTTATTAAAACCATACCTTTGGAAGCAAATTGGGACAGTCCTTATAAAATAGCTGATCCTATGGGATGAAATATGGTCCAAGTACAAAAACTTCTTGATGGTTCACAAAACAAACTGAGGCAGCAATTTTTTTTTTGTCTTCATGCAGATTAGTGTGAATTTTATAAATCTAAAACATACTTGAAAACAGGCCCGGACTGGCCATCGGGCACACCGGGCAAATGCCCGGTGGGCCGCGGTGGCCGTGGGGCCGAGGCCGGCAGGGGAGGTCCCAGGATCTCCCCTGCCGGTCTATGCAGGGCCGGCGCTCTCCTAGCGCCGGCCCCGCTGTTTTCCACGACGGGCCGGTGGGGAGATCAAGGATCTCCCTGACCGGCCCACATGCGGCCGCCGGCGGGGAGAGAGGGAGGGAGGGAGCCAACCAGCCAGGCTGGAGAGAGGACCCGGCGGAGCTCTAATTTGCAGCTCCGCCGGGTTCCTCTCGCGAGATCCGGCGCGTTGCCATGGCAACGACCGGATCTCGCGAGAGTGAACTCTAGCCTCACAGGCTATGCTGGCTAGAGTTCACTCACCCACGAGGACCACCAGGGAACAGCTCCACCCCGCCTGCCAGCGTGCCGGACCCCCCCTCCCAGGCTAAAGGTAAGAAGGGAGGGGGGGGGAATAATTCTGTTTTTTTGTTTTGTTTTTTTTTAATTTTATTTACCCCCCCCTACACACACACACAATAACATTTATACAGCACTCTCACACCCATCACACACAGCACTGTCACACCCATCACACACAGCACTCACACCCTGCACTCTCACACCCATCACACACAGCACTCTCACACCCATCACACACAGCACTCTCTCACACAGCACTCTCACACCCATCACACTCACAGCACTCTCACACCCATCACACACACAGCACTCTCACACACACACGCATCTCACACCACTCATCACACTCACAGCACTCTCACACACACACAGCACTCTCTCACAAGGCACTCTCACACCCAACACTCTCTCACACAGCACTCTCACACCATCACACTCACAGCACTCTCACAGAGCACTCTCACACACACACAGCACTCTCTCACAGCACTCTCACACCCATCACACTCACAGCACTCTCACAGAGCACTCTCTCACACCCATCTCACACAGCACTCTCACACACGGCACTCTCACACCCATCACTCACACACGGCACTCTCACACGGCACTCACACACACCGCACCCCTCACACCGCACCCTTACACACACACATACTGCACCCCTCACATACACACAGAACCCCCCCAACACACTGCACCACACACATACACAATACTTCCAAATATATATATGTGTGTGTGTGTGTATATATATATATACACACACACACACACACAACACTCTTAAAGGACCACTCTAGCCACCCAGAACACTTCAGCTTAATGAAGTGGTCTTGGTGCCAGGTCCTTCTAGGGTTAACCCATTGTTTTATAAACATAGCAGTTTCAGAAAAACTGCTATGTTTATCAATGGGTTAAGCCTTCCCCCAAAACCTCTAGCAGCTGTCTCATTGACCGCCGCTAGAGGCACTTGCGTGCTTTGCACGCAAGCGTCCATAGGAAAGCATTATAAATGCTTTCCTATGCGACCGGCTGAATGCGAGCGCAGCTCTTGCTGCGCGTGCGCATTCAGCCGACGGGGCGGATCGGAGGAGGAGAGCTCCCCGCCCGGCGCTGGAAAAAGGTAAGTTTTAACCCCTTTCCAGAGCCGGGCGGGAGGGGGTCCCTGAGCCACATATGCATCACATTACACCACAAACACAACACGACTAAAACCGACCTTATTGCACAATACCACACCACGACCAGCTCACTCTACACACACGCAATACCACAAGCAGGCTCCAAACACATGCACAATACTCTTTCCTGGCCTTTTGTCTCCTGGTATCCATTTATAGAGACACCAGAGACAAGTTGCAAGGAAAGACAGTGCAAGCATGTGCAGAACAAATACAGGACTTTTTTCTCATGCTAGAGAGACTTTTTTCTCATGCTTTCTCAGCAGAGCTCTGCGCATGGTCTGCCCTGGAAGAGCATTGAACCAACATGCTCACTTTGAGAGGAGGCGTGTTTGTCATTGGTGATGACAAAACACACCTCCTATGCCCCGCCCCCTTTTTAGTGGGCCGCTGTGTTAAAAAAATGCCCGGGCCGAATTTTTCTCCCAGTCCGGCCCTGTTGGCGGTCACTCCGCCAACTCACCCAGCACCTCCGGGAAAACGAAGTGCCATATAAATGGGGCATATGCAATCTGACAGTTGAAAGAGGGGGCAAGATACACTCTATCTAGATACACCTATCTGAGTCACACCGTTTCCGTCGGGAACTGGAACTCACTGAAAGCACCTTCCCATTGCCGCAACAGCCCTCCTGGTCAGTGGACCGGATCACTCTGTTTGTCCCAAGTGAGACCGAAAGAGGATCCCACAACCCGCCACCGTGAAGAGGACTGACACATCACATCATCCATCCCACCATACAAACTCCATGCAAGCTCACTTCTCTCTCTGGGTGTTAGCATGGTAACTAAATATTGTTTCATGGTTTTTATAATTTTAATTTAATTTGAATTGGCTCGATTAGTAGTAGCTACACTAGTTCTGAAGAGTTGTATACTCCCCCCCACCCACACACCTACCGTGCCTAAGACGACCAGCAGTTCCCCCCAACAGGTAGACGCTGCGTGATACAGGCTGACAGCAACTGCTTTTAATATTAATACAAATAATTGTCAATGACAGCATATTGAGAACGAGAAGGCAGATATGACCACAGCAGAAATGTCATGGTTCCCACCAGCACCCACCTCCCCCTCTTCCCCTACTTAACTGCAGCCTCCAGATCGGGCATCGGCTGATCTCACAGGAACTGACCCACAACATCTCTCATGTTTAGAGAAACTTTCCACTTTGCAGCATTGTAATTGTTTTAAGCATTTAAGAAAAACGTGGCAGGCAGTGTGCTTAAATAGCCAGCAGCACTTGTATATAAGCAGACAAAGTACTCACTTACACAGCATTTAACCCAGCATGCTGCAAAATCACACAGCCCACAAACGTCTCACTATTCATTACAAACGTTAATGTGCAAGCAGACGTAAAGTCTTATTTAGACCTACGGTAGATTAATAGCAAATATACAGTTATATTGCTTAAACATGTTTGAATAGCTAGCATCTGATACCAGACGAAGATAAGGCATTACCGGACAAGCAAATACACTGGTCATACAAGGATAGCGATGATAGTTACAGTTCAATGGCAGAACGCATGCAGCCTTATACAGTAAATGCCCAAGAACTAGTCTGTGAGCCACGAATAACTAAGGGGTAATAATATACTGGTATAGCCAGGGCCAGTGCAAGGATTTTTGCCGCCTATGCAAAAAAATATTTCCCGCCCCACCCCCCATATGTCCTGCCCACCATGTGACATCACAATGCCCCACCCCTATGCTCTGCCATATGGGCCAACGCCAGTCTTCACAAAGTGTCTTTTATCTGTCTTTTACATTAAAAAGCCTACAGGCACAGGCTATAGACACCAGAACCACTACATTATGCTGCAGTGCTTCTGGTGACTATAGTGTCCATTTAATGTGAGGTAAATTAGAGATTAGTGCCACTAATAATATATACTGGATTGCCTACGTACCACCAGATGAGGACAAGAGGCTGATGATGGGCTCTGTCTGGCTCCACAGGTCTGGTGTAGAAGAGGCTCTCTGGAGACTGTTTTTAACAGTGCTCACAACAATTAACAAACCGGAAGCATCTCCATTTTTTACGGCCCCTTACACAGCTCAAGGTCTGGGCCCCCAGGGCTTGACCGTGAGTATGCCTACAATGCCCACCCATAAATCCACCTACATGGCCCACCCATGAGTTCCGTCACAGGAAGTGGAGTGAATGTGTGTAGGGGATGTTTTATGTGTTATTGTAGAGGATGCAACGTGTGTGTGTTCTTATAGAATGTAGTGTATAGAGATACCAATTTCTGTAAGGGATGTAGTGTGTTTATAGGGGATGCAGTGTGTGTTTGCGTGTAAGGAATGCATTGTATGTTTCTGGGTGTGTGTGTGTGTGTAAGGGGTGCAAGGTGTGTTTCTGTGTATTTAATTGAATGCAGTGTGTGTCTGTAAGGGGTGCATTGATTGTGTAAGAGATACATTTTGTTTCTGTGTGTAAGAGAATGAGTTTGTGTGAACGTAAGGGATGCATTGTGTGTTTCGGGTGTGTCTGTGTGTGAGTAGGAATGCATTGTATGTTTCTGTGTGTGTGTTTGTGGGGGGGATGCATTGTGTATGTGTGTATGTGTGTAGTGTAAAAGAGAGGGTTTGTGGGGTAGGATAGGGACTGAGAGGGGAGCAGCTCTTTATTTTTTGAATTTTTTGCATAGTGCTCACCCTCCTGTCAATTATTGATTTCCCCTTCCCTCCTGTCCCTTAGTGCTCTCCCTTGGCCCCCTGTAGTCCACCCTTGGTGGTCTTCTCACTCCCCCCTCTCCCCCTTAGTGGTCCTCCATCCCTCCCCTTAGTGGTCCTCCCTCTCCCAAACCCCTTAGTAGACATTCCCCTACTCCCCCCACCCCCTTAGTGGTAATCTCCCCCCCTCAGTGGTCATTATCCTCTTTCTCCCCCCCCTTAGTGGTCCTTACCCTCCTCCCCTCTCCTTAGTGGTCCTCCCTACTTACCCCCCTTTGGTGGTCCTTTCCCCCCTTAGTGGTCCTCCCTCTCCCAAACCCCTTAGTGGACCTCCCCCTCCTCCCTCAGTGGTCCTTAGTACCCGCCCCCCGTCCCCCTGTGTTCCTTCACCCCCCTTCCCCAGTGGTTCTTACAGTGAGCACTTCCTGTCAGTCCGCCGGCGGCCGGGTACAGAAAACAGAGGTTCCTGTTCCGCACCGCCCGGCCACGTTACATTGAGAGACCGGCGGGAGGGATCGCTGTGCGCTTCCCTCCTGCCGGTCACTCAAATCCGGCTGCCCTCCACAGCAGTGCTGCACCGCCTGAGGCTTGTAAAAGCGCTCAGGTGGCGCAGCATGAAGAGCCGCCGGGCGCAGGGATCCGGCGCCCCCTGCTAAGGTGCGCCCTAGGCGGCTGCCTAGGTCACCTTACAGGTAGCGCCGGCCCTGGGTATAGCTACTGTTTCTATGTATACATAACCTGTATAATACATAGCCTGGTTTAAGCATTGTCTAGGTTTATTCATAATTCAACGCTACTGTTAAAAACTGTATGCATAAGCTAACAATAATATAATATAAAATTGTGCCTGATAATCATATGTCCTGCATGTTTGGCGTGGAAAATGCTAGAGGATTGCTTTCGGGGCACCTCATGCCAGCTTGTAAACTTTCTATGCACCGCAAATTTAAAAAAAAATAAAAATAAAAAAAGAAAATAAAAAAATCCCCCCAAACATTAACTGGAGCATATTACAGTTAAGCAGGTCATCTGGACCGCGGTGGTCTAAATCTTAAGGGGCACAGATGGTAGGCGGCAGGCCTATGGGTATGAGAATGTCACTGGTCACCGATACCCAGGGTCGGAAAGTTCAAGGAGCGTGCCGATGGGTTGTAAATGACTCCAGCCGGAGCGGGAGCGCAGACTGGATTCCCATGCCACCGTTGCTTGTCTTGGGTGTCCCACATTTCTGCCTTCTGGCGAGGCCATTCTGATTCCTGTGCACAAGTGCCGGTAGAAGGGGATGTTTTGCTGGCAGGGTCCGAGTTTGTAGTGGAGCGAGAGGTTGCAGGCTTCTGGACCCGGTTACTGCCGGGTGAAGTGGGTGAGCACATTTAGTTTTGCTTTTAGGTGTAGCGTAGCGCTGTGGAGGCGGAGAGCCCCTCCGACTCTGGGATTGCTGGAGAGCCGGTGCCCTGTTTCTGCGTGCTTGAGCTCTTGTGGGGTCCCGAGCCTCTCCAGAGGTGGTGCTTGTTGCCCGTGTAGTACTCCATTTGCCTTCTGTAGTCTGCAGCATGTGTGGCTGATGCTTGCAAGGTGGCTTGTGGCTATGTAGGGTGCAGCCTGGTGTTTCGGCTGGTGCTTTGATTTCCTCTGCCTACGTGGGTAGCGTGCTGGGGTCGCACCCTGTGTGGCTCCCACCCCGGGTGGACCAACTGTGTGATGCTTTTGAGCTTCGTGGAGCTTTGCCCAGTTGGGGCTTC